CGTGAAAGTTCTGCTAGCGCTGAGCTTTACGGAAATTGACGAGGATTGCCGATTGACCAAAATTGTTTTGCTTCATATTTTGCCTGAGATATGTATCTTCATCAGATTGGGCATACGAATCTTCGCATCTGACTTTCAGTAGTAACTAGTGTGTTATTTCCATGACAAAAAAATCAGAGAATGGAGTTTTACGTCCAACTTTTCTGAACCGTATGAGCTAATGAAGACGGACAGATTGATAAGACGACGTTCAATCTACCAATTGGGCCTTGGTCAAACCTACAATAATCTACAGGACAGGCCAGCAACACATATCATGGCGTGGTCCTACTTCATTAACCCACAAAAGTAGGCCGTAAAACTCCATTCATTTCATTTTATTTCAGATGACCAACAGTATTGGTATGTGTGGACCGTTATCTCAAGCCTATGATTCCGTGGTGTATAGTTTCTGTGATAAAATTGCAGATGTTGAGGTGGGTTGATTTAGATGATGTGACAATATGGTGTTGTCTGATTTTTAAAACTGCCCGATTCGCTGATAGTACTCAACCAATCTAGTTCAAATTTGATTACAAGTTTTCTACGACAGTCCCGTTCTAATCACGTTATATTATTATGTTTGACCTGTCAAATAAACATTAAGGGAGTTTTTTATATATATTATAGAGGTTCGTTTCTATTCAAATGTAGATGAGCTGGGGTTCAGATTATAATGCTGAAAAGTGATATAGAAACTCCCTGACATTAGTAGTATAAGAGTATATAGATAGGGAGCACTTTGGTATAAGAGCCCCCTATCTATAAACTCTTATACTACTGACATACCATTCACTATATTAGTCCTATACTTTAACTTTTTGTACACTCACTAACTTTTACTATATTAGTTGTATAACGTCTCTATTTCAGAATGCCGAGTGGTTATTAAACGGTATAAATGGTGTAATTATCCTCGCCTTATCCTTATTGATTTTGTTTATTTATAAAAGTTTGATAGTTGATACAACACATAATGACGATATGTAAGTAGTCTCGCTGTCCCACCAACTGTATGGTATATCGTCACATTATTATACCGTCACGCTGCACAATATCATACCGACAAGCAACATCGTCAAGCAGTTATAACACTAGTACACTGTTACACTAATACACCGTCACGTTAGTATACCGTCAAGCTGCACATTATCATGCCGTCACGTTATAACATCGTCAAGCAGTTATACTACCACTCTTATAAGCATCACACTGTTTCAATGTTACAATTTGACACCGTCACACTATTACAACGCCACGCCACCACACCGGCACACCAACATGCCATCACACTGTTACAATGGTACACTAATACACCGTCACACTGTTACACACAAGTATGTCTAAAATGTACAGTTGATGATTGATTTCAAAAAAATATATTTCCGAGTGAGCTGCTATGTTTAAATGGTAGAAATGTAGTCTCTATCCTCGTCCCTAGTATCTATTTACAGCAGAAATGAGGAATGGTGTAGAAAATAACTTATTCACCACAGACTGTTGTAAGATCTCCAATCTTTAACTATTCTACGATCTGTCATCAAATAACTGTAATAAACATTGCCTTTTGTGTGTTTTTCAGAAACGCTAACTTTGAGAAAATATTCGGAGCCAAGTAAGTAAAATATTAGTTTATGTCTAATTGTAAAATAATTAAAAGTTAATGTAGAACTAAACGACAAATTGTAGAAGAATTTCAAATAAATGTGTAAATTTTGACTGTGAACGTTTGTGTTTTCTTCCAGGAAAAAACCAAAAGAAAGTAAAGGATTTCTGAACAAAGCTGTAAAAACGTAGGTTTGCTATAAAACGTTATTTTATAAGACTGCTCTCTTTGTTTGATGTATAGCCATTGGTTTGTTTGTAACTGGTCACACTTTATAGTGGCCGGCCATGAGGATCTATTTTACCGGTCTCTCATACTGTTTAAAATTGAATGAAATACAGGATTTATGTACCTTTTTCAAGACGTAGCATGCCCTTAGACGTAGACTGGCTTTGCGCCTTCTGTTCGCTGCTTGCAGCTTGATGCATTTATACCTAAATGTGGCATTTGATTTAACTAGAATTTCTGCAATCATACGACCCAAATCATAATATGTTTGTCAATTTAATCCAAAAAAAAAAAAACTGTGGGTGCAGGGCTTCGAAATCCCCACCCAGAACATGGTTGACTTTATTGGCCATCATAATTATCAGTTATGTAATATGACCCAACTAGCGGTGGTGGCTCTAGAAGCTTCAACAATACAATTTTGTTGTAAATAATGCATTATGTCTTTGTACAAATATAATAATATTATGCAGAAAATTGCATGAATAAGAATTTAAGTTTTTTATTATAAATTTAACCCTGATCACAACGAATGGGATTAAAACAATCTGACAGGGACCCCCAAATTCGTCATCAACCACTGCCAGTCAGTAATCTGTATATTTGTTTTAGAGCCTATTGTATTTTATTATATTATTGACAGAATGAAGAAGAAGACGGAATTGGAGAAATCGTACAGTATTAAGAGAACGAAAAGAAGAAAATCCAGTGTGACTCCTGTACTCTCTCTACATGATATAGATCATAACGACGACTACGTTTAATTTCAACCAAACTCATCATTAGGTGAAAGGGCCGAGTAGGGGCCACATGATTGTCAAGGGGCTGGGGCGCTCATAACATCAGTCATTAAAGATCTCAATGCTTAGCAACCGGGTATCTTTACCTACCTGTTTCATAAAACCTACATTTCATTAGATATACAAGTTTAATTTAAACCAAACTAATCTCATAATGTCCATATGATAACCTCATCATAAAACCTACATTTCATTAGATATACAAGTTTAATTTAAACCAAACTAATCTCATAATGTCCATATGATAACCTCATCATAAAACCTACATTTCATTAGATATACAAGTTTAATGTAAACCAAACTAATCTCATAATGTCCATATGATAACCTCATCATAAAACCTACATTTCATATACAAGTTTAATTTAAACCAAACTAATCTCATAATGTCCATATGATAACCTCATCATAAAACCTACATTTCATATACAAGTTTAATTTAAACCAAACTAATCTCATAATGTCCATAGAAAATCATCATCAAGCTGTGTTTTATAAAATGTTAATTTAGTACGATCTATCAGTTTTAATTTAAACCTAGGTCATCTCAAATAGTTCATATAATGTCCTCATCAGGCTTTGTTTCATAAAATCCTCATTTCGCAAGATCTGGGAGTTTCCTTGGCTGAAACTTCTTGACTCCAAGTGACCTGTGATAGATATTTTGAGGGTTATCGGCTTTGATATAAAATAAAATATCAACTAAAGTTTGATTAGGGTCAGTTTTGTACCATGTTTATTATTTTATTTTATTTTCATCAACAAACATCAGTATTTGTATTTGTTATTTGTACGTATTTTTATATTTTTATAGAATACAAATTTTATGCTTAGCTTTAATATATATATCAACTATGCATTAAATTGTTCGCTTTAATACAAAAAAAAAAGTTTTCGAAAAAATATTTGTGTTCTTACTTTTACTTACCTTTGGATAATATGTCACGACTCGTTTATTAGAAGATAACGTTACGAAAAGTTTTATTGAGCGTTGGGCTGATTATAGACCGAAACATCTGCCTCTATTTCAGCCACTGATATCTATTTTGAAAAGACGTATCGAGTATCCCCATAAAACGGAGCCTAGTTTTTCTGACTCTTTACCTCAGCTGATAGCTGTCAAAATATCCATCAGAGGCTGGAATAGAGGCAGGTGTTTCGGACTAGGCGGATGTTTTGTATGAAATATAATTATTCTGTAAATCAAAAAGTAGGATGTTTTGTTTCCTGATTTACTGTAAGTAACCGGCATACTTTTTGTAGATGCTTCATTTCACAGTCCATGTAGGCTCAGCCACAGAAAAAACCACCGAGGTTTAAACATCTACCGATGATCAGCTGGTCACCCCATCATACCCCCCACCCCCACCCCCCAACAAGAACCCACCACAGTAGTCAACAACACAGCTCTTCAACAATTCCTAAATAAAGCTGTTGTTAACAAAAGCAACTAAAATACCAGAAAATTAGTGCATCGTGGTTTAAAGTTTTCACCAGTGAGCAACTGGTGTAGAAAAAGGAATCGTTTTATCATATCCATATACCATATACGTGATATTAATAATCATATTATTTAAATATTAATAATTATTTTTATTAATAAAAACTTATATCTTAGGCCTCAACGATTCTTGAAGTTGTGATTCGATACACTATACGATACTCATTCAACGATACGATTTATTGTGATAATTAATGTAATTCATTTATTAGAGAAAGAAAGAGAAAAAATAGTAGAAATTTGTAAAATTACTAACAAGTTTGTCACTATTAAACACTTTAGAACATTTAGAAGTAAGGAATTGTGAAACAAAATCATACATGGAAAGTGAAAACATGACACAATTTCTTATACACACAAGAATTCTGTGTCATTTATTATTAAAGGGGGATAAGAATTAATTGTGCGGTTACATCACGATTATTTTTATCCAACACAATGCATCGATAAGAAGGAAAGAATCGCGGTTCCCTATTATAATCCACATTTGTCCAGGTATATCCTTAAAGACGATGTGAACAAGGGGGGGTATATATAGACAACTAATACCGACTATCACGTACCAAGCCTCGGCTGATATCTTTGTAGCTATTCATGTACCAAACTCGCATCTTCTTTACTCTATTAAGTAAAATAAATATAACTAAATTTTAAAATGTTGTAGGGATAACATTTTGAATAAAAATCCGTACAAGCAAGAGAATTCCGTTAATCAAAATTTAGTCCAAAGAATGTCAAAATGGAGTGTAAAAGTTGTATAGTACCGGACTGCTCCAAAGAGAAGTACCATCAGGTGTTTGGAAAAGAGTAAGCATTATCTGCTTCGCGCCCGTCACCCGACACTAATTCATGTCTGACCAAATAAATCAGTCAAGATGCAAGAAACAATTTTGTCATATTTGTCCAGAAGTTCGTTATAAATACCATAAAATTTCCTAACTGAAGTTTGAAGTCTATGTGTCAAGTAACCCTGTTTAAGCAATTTCAAAGTGACATAGCGGATGAGTTGTGAAACGTAGCCTACACGCCATATTATGACTATCGTATATTTTATATTTGTCTAATTTCATATTCACAAGCACTTATTGTTTACATTCTTTCTGTCGAAGGCTCTGAAAGGCTGTATTCACAATCCGATCAAATTGCGGATGTACAAACTTTGCAGTCAAGGTATAAGTAGTCCGAAACATCTGTCCCTATTACAGCCTGTGATAGTTATAGTTATTTAATAGTTATCTAAGGTAGATGTTTCGGTCTGATCTAACCTATACAGCAGGGTCATCACAATCAACATAAAAACCATCATCATTAAAATTATAAAAATTATCTTCAGATCACTTTTTATCTCGCGTAATTTTTGAATCTCTAAAACAAGTATAAACTTGCCATTGGCGTCCACAAAACCTTGCTTTTGATCAGTCAAGATATTCCAGTCTAAAACACTCTCTAAGCCAACGTGCTTACGTCCTACTATCAGCTTTCTGTGAGATTCAAACACCAGCGTGGTGTTTATAGCCGTGTTGGTGTTTAACAGAATCACCCTAAAGTCCAGTAAACATGACTTCAACAAAGGGTTATCATTCGGAAGAAGTTCTAACGCGACCTGGAATTGTCCATCTTGGAATCGTTTCACACTACAGCTCCAGTGTAGACCGTTCACTTTGTATTTGTCGTCGCTGAGATAGTAATAACCCAGTTTAGTCATATCTTCAGCTTTAAAACGAAATATTCCAACATGATTATCTCCCTTATTATTGTCTCCCTTGAGTAAGTCTTGTCTCTCAGAACTTTCCATGTTCACAACAGCCGCCATTTTATACCTTGAATTGAGTGTCCGATATTTTGCAGGTCGTTTTGTCTAGAATATACCCAACATTTTCGAAAACATCACCTACCTGGGTTATATTTTAGAGGGTGGTCCACTGTTGTACTATTGCCTGTTTATAGAAACACCAGACATCACCTAACTCTGGGTTATATTCTAGAGGGTGGTCCACTGTTGTACTATTGCCTGTTTATAGAAACACCAGACATCACCTAACTCTGGGTTATATTCTAGAGGGTGGTCTACTGTTGTACTATTGTCTGTTTATAAAACACCAGACATCACCTAACTCTGGATTATATTCTAGAGGGTGGTCCACTGTTGTACTATTGTCTGTTTATAGAAACACCAGACATCACCTAACTCTGGGTTATATTCCAGAGGGTGGTCTACTGTTGTACTATTGTCTGTTTATAAAACACCAGGCATCACCTAACTCTGGATTATATTCTAGAGGGTGGTCCACTGTTGTACTATTGCCTGTTTATAGAAACACCAGACATCACCTAACTCTGGGTTATATTCCAGAGGGTGGTCCACTGTTGTACTATTGTCTGTTTGTAGAAACACCAGACATCACCTAACTCTGGGTTATATTCCAGAGGGTGGTCCACTGTTGTAGGCTATTGTCTGTTTGTGGAAACACCAGATATCACTTAACTCTGGGTTATATTCTAGAGGGTGGTCTACTGTTGTACTATTGTCTGTTTGTGGAAACACCAGACATCACTTAACTTTGGGTTATATTCTATTACTCCGAGTTACACCAAATCGCCTTACTCCGAGTTACACCACACCGTTTTACTCGGGGTTATATTCCAACGAATGGTCCTATGTGATATATACATATTGTAGCATATTACTCAAGGTTATACCATATCGCATCACTCCTATTCCAGAGAACTGTCCTGTGTTGAAGCTCTTATAAATGTTATTTTCAATTATGCTGCTCGTTTCCGTGTTATAGGCCCTAATGAAATCAATTCAGGCTACCGACGTTAATAGCTCTATTCAGTAAAGTTTTCTTTCAATGGCCTACTTTTTTTCTAGTGTGAGTTATGCATAAAAAAGTTAGAATTGAATAGTGTATCAATTGGTAAATCCGGATATTTTTATAAACCTATTGTACATTAATGAATACAAGTGAGCACACCTTTATGTCACACAGGGATTATAATATGTATATTAATTATAATATAGACCGTATGTATCGATATGGTAAAATACAGTTTGATTTGATAAAAATAAACATGTAAATTCAGCTGACTTTTATGTCCTAATTTCTTGCCCCTTGTTTACCTGATGAAGACAAAGTCAAAATTAAGGGTTATTATTTTTATAGATTTAACTTCAAAATGCAAAAATTTACTAAATATTAAAAAGAGATGTGTGCGCTCTTTTTATTTATTTATTTTTTTCAATTATACGGAAGTCTCAGAAACGGGAATTTTAAGCTCAACTAATCAGTAATATTTTTCACAGCTCACCGTTGAAATATGAGCCTTTAAATCCAGGTGTGTCCAGAATTATCCGCGTTTGAAAGTTAAAAAGACGAGTCGTCATTATAAGATACTCTGTGATATATAGAAATAGTGAGTAAAATTCTTAGTTTGAGATATTTTTGAACGAATTGTACGATTTTCATACATATCTAGTACTTTTAACATCATGTATTCAGACCAAAATCAACCCCCAAAATGGCGCACCCGAACCTTTTTTAACTTAAAAGTGGAAAGTTTTGTCTTCTCTCAGTTGGGTACTTGGCTACCCATCATCCTACTTCCCAGAACAAGTAAGAAACCTCGCTATGATACAAGTTAATGTGATACTCGATAAATTTAAATATTAGAAAGTTATTTGTGGTCTGATCTTTTCATGTATTAAAAGAGTTATCTCTAGACGAAAATTATCTTTCGTTTCAGAAAATATTCAGGTTGAAATCTGACGTCACACCCCACGTGGTTCACATGCTTCTCCGCCATATTGCGGATGATGGAGCTTTCTTGAGTCGAAGAAAATAAAACGACCAGTTAGATACAATTGATTGAAGTTTGATTGATATAAATTATTTTACAAAATGCCTGCTTATTTCCAGCGCCCCGAAAATGCACTCAAACGTGCAAATGGTAAGTTTGGTTGTGTGAAAAAAAGCCTAAAATATGTGTAGATTCTCAGCGGGTAAAAAAATCTGATGGCGGTGCCATATTGCCATAAAGATGGTTGCTTCATGGTTTAATCTTGCTCTGTAGTGTTATTTGAGTACTGGAAGCCAATCTTTAAGATGCATATAATGATTAGTGTTTTGTTAGTGAGATTCTACTTTTCAACTCCTCCCTTGGGACCCGCGCAAGATGGGTTGCCACCTGTTATCTTTCCAATTTCTCACCTGGTCAAGGAAGTTGAGGTATTTAAATAAATATTGGAATTGTAAAAAATTTAAAACTTCCTTCTCATGTCTAAGCAGTGTATGTTTAGGCGTGAACCTCTATATATCCACTGTGTTCAGTCTGTATAGATACTGCAGGATGAACATTCTGTGTACAGTACATTCAGCTCTTTTCATCCTGTGTGGACAACTGAAATGTTCCTTTCATACGCTTTTAGAAAGATTTCACTAACAGTGGTTATATGGGATAATTAAGCTGTCTCACGACACTGACACAGTTGATGGACCAAGATCACAATCCCTGTTATGCTGAGAGGCGAAGGATCTAACCCCCATTCTCCATTTTCTTTCAGAGTTTATGGATGTTGGCAAACGACAGAGAGCCTTGGAAACTCTGTCAGATGTCATCAAAAGTAAACGTCATCGAACATGGCAGAAGGTGCACGAACCTATCATGCAGAAATACCTACAGTTGTGTGTTGAGTTGAGAAAAAGTCACATTGCTAAAGAAGGTCTCTATCAATATAAGAATATATGTCAACAGGTAATATATATAAAATAAACAATCTATATTCACCGACACTAGGCACTAATGATCTGAATTGCAAAACAAAACCGGGAATCAAAACAACTTGATAGCAGCTAATGAACTGTTCACATGAGGAAGTATATCTATCATAAATGAGTACCGGTAAGTATTGCAGGAGCCTAGAAGCCTAAGCATACCCTGACTTGCTCTACACTCTTGTAATCTTTGAACTTGGTATTTAAGAGACATTAGATAACGCTAATACGGATATGATACTACTTCCTTTATTTGCTATATTATAAACAGAATGCTTGTCAGCGGATATCTATAAATAACTACTATTTATAAGATGGTAAGAGAAGCAGAGAGAAAATCTAGAGTCAAATATCACACTGTTAAAATTTTATACTTTTAATGGATTTCATTTTACTCACATTTTTGTATGCCCACATGAATTGGGGGAGGGGGGGTTGTACATTGACTCAACCATGTCGTCCGTCCACAATTGCTTGTGAACACTCTAGAAGGCACCATTCTTGACTGGTTTAGACAAAACTTATTCCAAGTGTTTGTTATCACCCAAGGATAAACCCTATTGAAAATCAGGAAAATTGGTAATACTCAGCACTAATTCTAATATATTTTCTGACGTTAATAATTGCAGGTAAATATTGCCTCGTTAGTGGATGTTGTCAGGTGTTATATTCAACTAGCAGAAGAAAGAACTGAGGCTGCTCGTGAGAAATCACATCAGAAAGTTGTAGATGTTGATGATTTAGATTTACCTGATTCTCCAGAAAGGTAAGATTACGGAGGAAAGCCACTGTGTTACATGCTAATAAGATGGTTGTTATCCTAATAAGTCTGTGTTCTTTGAATGCCAAGGTGCCACTTAGACATCAGGTTGTTTCTGTTCAGTGCTACTTCTGGATAAAGTGCAACTTTAACACAAATTTCTTTTGTTTTCAATGAAACTATATGTAGGTCTATAATTGAAAGAGATCATTGTTAAAAATAAGGTGTTTTTTTTTTTAGCGTGTCAATTTATATTCATTCAGTGACTATTTGGCACAAAAGAAAAAATGAAACAGGTAAATTGGTCAAAGGGTAATCTTGGCATTTAAACACCCCAGACCCTGCACTTATAAAATGCTTTTCAGCGGATATCTATAAATAACTACTATTTATAAGATGGTAAGAGAAGCAGAGAGAAAATCTAGAGTCAAATATCACACTGTTAAAATTTTATAATTTTAATGGATTTCATTTTACTCAAATTTTACTTTCAATTTACTCACACTACCCCAGGTCCATAAACATAAACGCAAGCAGTTCACTAAACTTTTAGGTAGAATAAGTCTAGCTTTTTTGTTTTCAAATTCTTTTTTCTTCCCAAAAATAATGTGGAATATTTGTGTTAACTTTTTGAATTGGACCTGAATGTACAAACACCTAGGACATCCTAGAATCAATGCTAGAAGATAAGAACCTAGGACATCCTAGAATCAATGTTAGAAGATAAGAACCTAGGATATCCTAGAAACAGTGTTAGAAGATAAGAACCTAGGACATCCTAGAATCAATGTTAGAAGATAAGAACCTAGGACATCCTAGAATCAATGTTAGAAGATAAGAACCTAGGATATCCTAGAATCAATGTTAGAAGATGAGAACCTAGGACATCCTACCGCTAAGTGGCCAGGTGTTCAACTTGACCATATTTCTATGGAATCTGTATATGATTATATTTGATGTTTTCAGTATGTTATTGAAGGCAGTGAGTGGTGAAGATACCCAAGACAGGACTGACCGAGCTATTCTCACCCCCTGGGTCAAGTTTCTGTGGGAATCGTATCGTCAGTGTTTAGATTTGTTACGTAATAACTCGAGAGTAGAGAGACTGTATCAAGATATAGCTCAACAAGGTACTGTGTAGATAAGTGATGACTAAAACTAGTTACAATTTTGAACCTTTTTTACCTGATATTTTACGTCTCAATTGATTACTAATTTTTCTATCACAGTCAAGATCTATATACATCTTTAATCAATCATAACTTCATGTTGGACCTGTTTCTTGAAAACGAGTACCTTAAATGAAAAATATTCCACTATTATTTTTGTCATTGTAGACTATTTAGTTTTCTAACGCAGTCTGATTCTTGAAAACAAGGACCTTCAATAGAAAATGGACAAATGAGAATATTTCCACTGTTGTGTGCCTACTTTCAATATCAGTCTGAAATATATTTATATTTTATTTCAGCTTTTAAGTTCTGTTTGAAATATGCTCGTAAAACTGAATTCAGAAAACTTTGTGACAATGTAAGTTTTGAAATGTTTATTCTTCAGAAATATTTCATGGCCCAAGCTCTGCAATTTTTAGTCAAAAAGAAACACAAATAAAACCTTGATAGTTATAATTCTGAGTTACTCATGTCTTTGTTTCAGCCTGTCAAGAAACAATGGCTTGTAAACAACCTAGATGATACAAATTTTGAATGATTTTGATGAAATGACTTTATCTGCCTCTCGTGAATAAGAAATGATAAGATATAAAAATTATTAAATGAATATTTCCTCTTCTTTTTCAGCTACGTACTCATCTTGGACATATTCATAAACATCAACACCAACAAACTGCTATTAACCTGAATAATGCTGAATCCCAGGCCATGCACCTCGAAACCAGACTGGTTCAGTTAGACTCTGCTATTAACATGGAACTATGGCAGGTTAGTAGTGTAGAGGATTATAAAATATATGTCATTAGCTGGGGTGACGATCAGTGACTTAGTGACCTGCACTTTCCTATCAGACTGCTTATTCTAGAAACAATCTTACCGCTAAGCTATCCTAAGGTTTTTCAGTCAGAGGCATTTATGTTTCATTTCAATTTAATACACCCTAATAAATATACACTAGGACTTACTATCATCATGTGAAGTTCAGTGTCCCTAGATAGTCCTCAACATTTTCGGTAAGCCAATATTAGGGTGCGACTAAACACTGTAATGTAGTCTACCATGGACTAGATTGTCAGTTAAATTCTTATTTCTTTTGTAGGCAATGACTAGATCATTCTTGAAGACCTCACAAATTTTCTCCTGTAGATTCTTGTATTGATACTAAACACTGTAATGTAATCCATTATGTTAACCATTTTATAGGTGTGCCTATACACTGTTTAGCCAGGCAAAGAATTGTGCTTTTAATTTCACTCATTTTTCTTTCCTCCAAAGTTAAATTTTCTTTTTTTTTTGATATTTCAGGAGGCATTCAAGGCTGTAGAAGATATTCATGGTTTGATAAGTTTGTCAAAGAAACAGCCCCGCCCTTCCTTGATGGCCAACTACTACCAGAAACTAGGTTTGGTATTCTGGAAGTCTGGAAATAGACTGTTCCATGCCAGCACCTTACACAGACTTTACCATCTTTCTCGAGAACAGAGGAAAAATCTGGCTCCAGATGAGCTCACTCAGTAAGTTGGTTTATAATTGAAGGTTCTGTTATCTGAAAGTATACAGCAGTAAAATAAAAATTATTTTTGAAGTGCTACATTTGATCTATAAGTCTATATTGCCAGTGATATGATTGGAGATTTCTCCAGCACTACTGATATTATGACTTGATGGTATTGGTAATATTTAAAAGTTTTAAACTGTGCTCAGCAATCATCTGTCAGGTACATGTTAGGATTGTGTTTAGTTTAGTTTGTAGCTTAACTCAGAACAGGCCTTTGTGTTACTGGAATTATTTAATAGTGATTTCAGCGTCAGACTAGGCCGACAGAAACTAGCTCTAGTCTTTTTATTAGCCTTCTTCATCTTGATATAGGCTTACAATTATTCTTATGAACTTTGATTGATAATTCAGTTTTAAAGTTGTTAAAACAGAATGTGTTTATATAAGCCCACTTTATTACAGTGCTATAGATATCCCCATTATTTAGATCAAAAATATTTGGACCAGTAAAAACCTGTGAAATGATTTCGAGTGGGGCATATATTGTCACCTCTGTCCCCCCAGTCTAATTATACAATTTACAGAAACTTTGTGTTATTGTTTCGATCTACAGCACCGGACCCCGTTTCACAAAAATTTGTACTACTAAACTTGCACATTGAGAGAAGAAAAACATTATTTTTCACGTTATCAAAGCGTTAATTTATAATGTTTATTGCTTGTTCATGAATTTACAATATTTTGAGAAACGGGGTCTAGAACTGAAAAAAGCATCCTAAATTTGATTTCTATCTTGATTTTTCAGGATGGCCTCTCGTGTATTGTGTGCCACACTTGCCGTACAGATTCCCCCATCCCATAATGCTATTGGTGAGTTATTAGAATTAAACGAGAGTGTATTAGACAAGAAGAGACAGCTAGCCACGTTGTTGATGTTACCCAACCCCCCAACTCGACAAGGTCTTATCAAAGATTTAGTAAGTTTCTAGATTCATGTTTTATGTAGAGAGATGTAAGAAATTCAAATCATTTAGGTCTGAGTGGTTAAATGTCATTTTTGATGAGAAATTCTGTCAGTTTCCAAAATAGCTATCATAATAATATTTAATTCCATGAATATTATTCAAATACTTCAAAAATTAGTGTGTTGTGACTGTCTTTTTTCACAAAAATCATATAAATTGTCGTAAATATTGTATTTCTCATGTAAAATTCTACAAGGAATTTTAATTGTAAGATTTTTGGAAATAACTGTATTTTAAACGGTTGATATGACCCGATCTACCTGATGCATTCTACGCCGTTCGCTACCTTCTATAGGTAGATGTACTGTCCAAGTGTGCTAGATAAATTATATTTTTATCAACCCCTATAAAAAGGAGTTGTATCAGATGATTAGAGTCTCTATTTCATCAGTCTATAAAAATAGAACAGTTTTACAACCATTACGGTATTATATATAGAGGAAAAATTCTAATTAATGTTGAATGTGTCTGTTTTGGTGTAACTTATTTTACAGTATTTCAATCATTATTTTGAATGAAAGACATTTAAGGGAATGTAAAGAGGTTTTCTAAATTTTAGTTTTGTTATCCAATCAGATTACTGTATTTCTTAAAATCTGGATTATATTTAAATTAAGTTTTAGAGAATAAGGCCCCAGTCTTCAACACGACTTGAATATTATATATTATAGGTAAAACATGGAGTAATGCAGAACGTATATCCTGAATTACGTAGTCTGTATCAATGGCTGGAGGTAGATTTTCATCCCCTCAGTCTGTATAAACGTGTAACAGCTCCTCTAGATACTATCGCTAAGAATGATGAACTGAGTCAATATGAGCCTGCTCTAGAAGATATTGTTATAACTAGAGTGCTGAAACAGGTAAGAACTGTCACATGTTAATTAGTACATGAATATTCATAGCCTTTGTATTTTTGCTCTGGTACATAATGGCTACATATAAGTCATGAATATTGCCAATCATGCCACAGTAGGAAACGTATCACGAGGGAAAATGTTGAATTGAAAATAACAAAGTCAAGTACCGGTACATCTCTCATGAAAAGTTCAAAACCATGGTGATGACACTGAATGATTTGCTGTGCCAGTTTTGAGTTAAACAGAAACCCTACAGAGAGCTCTGTAACAATTTGTCGGAGACTTGGTAAAAATGTTAGTGTAGGAAGTCTCCATACTTCCCCCCTAATGCTTTTCAGCGGATATCTATAAATAACTACTATTTATAAGATGGTAAGAGAAGCAGAGAGAAAATCTAGAGTCAAATATCACACTGTTAAAATTTTATACTTTTAATGGATTTCATTTTACTCACATTTTACTTTCATTTTACTCACATTTTGACTAACTCGAACTCTCAAGAAGGTATATACCAATATATCTTATCTTGCATTTCAAATTTTTTTTCATGCAGCTGTGCAAATTTTGGGGTTAAAAAAAAAAAATATCACCCAGTCTAGAATAAGTCCTTTGTTGCTTGCTGTAAATAGATATATTATATAGATTGATATGTTTTCAGGTTTCTCAAGTTTACCAGACTATAGAGTTTTCACGCCTCGCCTCACTGGTTCCATTTGCTACCAAATTCCGTTTGGAGAGAATTATTGTGGATGCCAAGAAAACCCTGGAACTTCAGGTAACTCTTTTACAATCATACCTCATTTTCATTGTCACCAGGGTACTATTGTTAAACAACACCCTCTTATCAGGAAGGTTTGAATAAGGTGGTGAATTGAAACAAGTCTTTTTAAAACCTGTGAACACTAAGTTTAATTCACAAGGACACAACTTATGCAAATGCCTGAGATTTGTAACGATGACCAAATTGTCAAAGTGTCATTTTGATTTGCCCACATTTTGATGTGGATATGAATGGTTTCAACTATGTATTTGATATCTACCAATATGTAAGTCTAGTTTGACAGTATTATGCTGGAATGAGTCTTGTCAAAAGTCTAAAATATCCGCTCGGTGGGTGTCGCTTTCTTGATTGTGATTTGAAAGTTTTTCGTTGAAGTCTTCGTATGATTCATAACAAAAAATGGTGGAAGAGAAATGCTTGTCAGCGGATATCTATAAATAACTACTATTTATAAGATGGTAAGAGAAGCAGAGAGAAAATCTAGAGTCAAATATCACACTGTTAAAATTTTATACTTTTAATGGATTTCATTTTACTCACATCACCTCCAAAATTAAAACTGATTGTCAAGAAGTTTTCGGGTTTTTAGTTTACCATTCTTACTGATAGTTTGTTCTTGTTACAGGTTCGAATCAACCATCAAACAGAGTCATTAACTTTTGGTACGAATTTAGACATGGCCCAGCGTGAAGACGTGCCTGAAGGACCGTATATACAGAATATGCCTTCTGAACAGATTCGTAATCAATTGACAGTCATGGCCAGATCTTTACATAAAGCCATTAATCTTATTGTTCCTGAGCAGAAACAGGTAAAATATTCTATTTCTAAGTCATTGGGTTTGAAGAATATTAGAGCTGGAATGATACTTGAAGCCAAGAGCATGCCCATTATTTACCCCACTGTTTGATATGCATGACCATCAAAAATTGATTTCAGCATCTCCTGATTTTTACCAGTATTGCATTATGGGTATGAGGAAAATGGTGTTTCTCCTTCACTAGCGTTAGACAACAGGATCGAAAGGATTAGTGTAAGAAAATGTCAAGCTATAATTACCAACTGCGTCTTGTATCATGTAAATGCAGCAATTTGATTGGATTGTAATGATAGTCTTTGTGTCGAGGCCTCTGATTGGCAGTATTACTAGCATACAATACAATGAAATCACTACACTGTGATACTCGAAGAGAACTCGGTGAATCGGAGGGTTAACATTGTGAAGATGTACCTCTCCCCCCCCTCGCTTTGCGATAGAATATTGTGATGTGATACCGGTAATAATGCATTCTAAGCAGGTCTCTATCTAACTATAGGTAGAAGTTCAAAATAGCATGCTATAGTAATATTATATTAGTTTATAATAAAACAATAGATTTTACTAATTATATTGTCTTAGACTGATACAACACCCTTTCATTATTCTCATAAACTCTCCCCTTGTTTTCATATTAAACATATTATATTCCATGGTGCTAATAGAATTAATTTGTAATTGTGGGTGAATATTATTCTGAAATTCATATTGTATTAAAGCTGGGTTGTGTACAGTAAATAAGGTTGTATATACAAGTAATATCAGCCAGCTATCAAATTATCTGTAAACTCCATATATAGACATGGCATGTTAGGGCATGCTTACTACTACTACTACTAGACTACTACTATACATCAATTGAACCATCCTATTGTATCATGACATATAGACATTGTTATACTGATACATTATTCTCAAAAACTGAAATTAAGATGGTTTGAGTGTTCAAGTCATTTGATCTGCCAATCACTAAGATCAATTTTATCATATTACCGATATAGTAAGTTTGAGTCTGGTGTATTTACAGGCTGAAAGAGAGAGTCTAAAGATGAAGATTATGGGTGAATATCGAACATCCGCTAAACGTGACCACGTTAAAATACTACAGAGACGCCAGATTATAGAAGACAGGAAGGAACAGCTGGAACATTTTGTAGATCAGAGGGTATGTACTGTTTAAAATTATAACTTTTATTTATTTATAGATTGACCTTGTCAGTCAAGAGTTATTAAGAATGAAGAAGTTAATAAAAACTCATCTATATCAATGGTTGAGGTCACAAAAGTAGAATGTAACATAGTCTCTACTATACAGTTATGTCCCTTTTTATTATAATATAGGCTGTCCTGGCACAATTTCTCTCATTGCACACTGCATGATATTACCCTTCAACCCCAATCAGTTGCTGAAAGTAGGATGTAAAACTCCATTTCAATTCATTTAGTCAAGTTTAAAATTGCCTTAATTCCACTGAAGTGACAATTACGTTACTTCGGCGTCCAAAGGGGCATATAGAAACTAGCCTGGAGGTACCGATATTATCCTGGAAGTGGTCTAGTATCGTAATCAGGTATTATCGGAATAACTAATTTAATATATATTATTAGATTCTTATACTTCCATTGCTAACATTGTAGAAATAGTTGTCATTTTTTTTATCAATTATTTTTTTTTACCAATTATTTGATATTTTCTTGAATTGTTAATATCTGAATGAGACAAGGAATTGATGCCTTGTGGACTACAGAAACAGGATCCCTCAAATATTCAATGGCCTTGTAGAATGCCCCTCATTGCATACATCAACCTTTTGTGTTATTTCCATAAGGTGTAGAAAATATATACATGCAGAACTTCATTGGTTGATTTATCTAGTCAAAATGCTGATATCTTTTCCTCTAGGCAAGGTATTGAAAAGTAAAACATAATTTATTTAAATTTGAATTATTTAGGAGAAGGAAGAGATGGAAGAACAAGAGGCTCAGAGAAGTAAATTATATGAAGAGGAAATGGCCAGACTAGAACGTGAAGTAGAGGAAAGAAAGAAACATAGAGCAGTACTAGAACATCAAGAAATTAAACGTAAACATGTTAAGGAACGAATTGAACAGCTGCGTAAATCAGAAATGGGATCTAAATTTCTTGAGAAATTTGACGAAGAGGTAGGATTCTCGTGATATTTTCAATTACAAAAATTAACAGGGTCAAGCACTTGAAATATATATTTTACCAAACTCTCGTATTTATATGTAATATAATATATATGATTTGGAATAGATATTAATTAATATAATATATATGATTTGGAATAGATATTAATTAATATAATATATATGATTTGGAATAGATATTAATTAATATAATATATATGATTTGGAATAGATATTAATTCATGTCTAATGGCGATACAAATATTGTAAAAATCGGTGTCATAATTATGTACCCGAAGTGCTACAGAATCGGAATGTTAAAAATCCGTTGACAGTTGGAAATAAAAAAGAGAAGGCTAATACTGCTGTCCTGACAAAGTTTCTCTCACTACTCACTCTATGGCGTTGTCTGTCTTCATTAGCTTAAATGTGCTGAAAAGTTAGACAGGAAACTCCATTTGATTATTGTAGGATATTGCTGACCTGGATGTAGATGAGATCATGGCTAAACAAGTAGAACAACTGGAGAAAGAGAAGAAAGAATTAAACGAAAGACTGAAACTACAGGAGAGAAAGGTAGGACAGTTTAACTCTAGGGGAGGGGAGTAATCTTGAGGTTGGGGCCAGGGGGGGTGGTCTGTAAGATTAACACACATTTTGAATGCCACTTTCAATTTATCCAAAGGCATTTTCAAATTCAAGACTTTTTTGGGGTTCTCTGATGACCGTGGCTATTGAAGATATGAATAACAAGCATTTAACAGCATATGACCGTCTCTACTTCACCCTAACATTCTTGACAATCAAAATGATTTTACGTTTCAAGAGAGAAAATAACTAGCTTGCTTATTGTTTTCTTTCTTATCTGTACCATTGTTACCAGTCAAGACAATACAGGCCGTAATGTTCAGTGAGTTCTCAATTAGATCCAATACAATTCTTATTGAAAATAACTTATCATTATTATATTTTGTTTTATTTACAGGTGGATCATTTAGTTCGAGCTCAGAGAATAGAAGAATTGCCATTATTAGAAAAGAAAATAGAAGAAAATGGAAGATTGGCTCGTGAGTTTTGGGAACAGCAAGAGAATGAAAGGGTAAGTTGATTTTGATTTTTATTGGTTGACTTCAGGTCTTGAATAGGAAGCTTGAAGATTGTTTTTAATTTTGAATAAAGGTTAATATCTATAGGTGCTGTAGCTAAATTCTCGGTTTCTCTATATATGATGTCATCTGGTGGCCTGGAATAAGTCTTCCATCATTATTCCAGTAGACCCACAAGGGTATAATAAATGAAAAAACCATGCCAAGCAGTTTTGATAAGAGTCAGCTGTAAGATAAACCTCTTTTTGTCACCAATCACAATAACTCTTTGATATTTTGACAGATAGAGAAGCTGGTAGCTGAAAGAAAACAGGCGTTAGAAACAAAGAAAAGATTGTCCAGAATCCGTGAAGATAAAGAAGCCTTCGTTAATAAATTACAAGATACAAGGTTTTCAGAATATGAGGTAATGTGGAATTGATTTTTGAGGAAATTGGTTTTAAATCTTATGTTATATTTTGATAGACAAAGCATTTGATTGGTTAAATAGTGAACACTGGTATCAAACAGATGTCGTTAGATCAAAATGAATTTTACTACACAAAGTTTAACTTGCCCTTTAACACTATAAAATTCTTCTAAAATCAGATGCTAAAGTAGGGGATGTGAACTTCCATCTGTCTTCATATTACTTGTCCAGTGTATTGGTTTATAAATACTCAATGTTTACAAGGAAATAAAATTCAAGCCCCAATCTGCATCAGTTTTCTGTTGTATTATCCCTTCCGCTTCACCTCTACAATTTCCGAACTATGTTTATTTTTAGGATAAATTAGCCGATTTTGAACAGCATATGACCAAAGAAAGAAACAAGAGAATGAAAGAACGAAAGGAAAAGAGGAAGATAGAAAGAAGAGAGAAATGGATAAAAGAAAGAGAAGAGGAGAGACAAAGGATTAGAGATGAACAAATGTTGAGAGGTAAGATTTTCCTTTTCCAACTCATTTCTGGTCTATTTCATTTTCTTCATGATTGTTTCTCTCTAAATTATTGTTTAAAACCGTTCAATTTTCAAAAGTAGGTCTCAAATTCTTCAAAAAAATTGTTTGGGTTTTGAATTCTTTAGTTAGATGAAAAATTGACATCTAAGACCAAATTGTTTAGGTTTTTGAGTTGTTTGGTCTGTAGTTAGATAAAAAAAAATTGACCAATTCAGAGTCATTGTACTGTTTTCGGTTGTTAATGCAAAACTCCGAATAACGTCAGGCTGTGTACATTTGTGTTCTCAAATTAACTAAATGAAATGATTAAAAGTAACCGAAATATTCTTTGATTTTTTTTGACAGAACGTGAGGAAAAAGAAGCGGAAGAAAAAGCGAAACGGGAGGCAGATGAAAAAGAATATGAAGAGAAATACAAACGTTTACAAGAACAGGCTGAAAAACAGAGACTACGCGAGCAGGAGATAGAGGCTAAACTCAAACAAAATCAAGCTGAAAAAAAATCAGACCAAGAACGGTAGGTGGCAAGTCTTTTCTCGTATAGTATCTCCCTTTTTTAACATTAAACAATATTTCACTAATTGGTTATTTTTATACGCCCATGTCTGGTGGTCCGTCCGCAATTGCTTGTAAACACTCTAGAAGGCACAATTCTTGATCGAAAAATATTTATTTGTTAATGACCTCGTTATTGAATATTTTCAAAAGCCTCTGTCCTGTCTAAATTTCCTTTATTTTCTCAATCAGACGAGATTTGAAGGAATTGTCTTGCTTGTATAGATTTTTTTTTTTATCCACAGACCTGAAAGAGTGGGAGTGAGAGAGAAAGAACCAGAGCGTGATGCTTGGAGACGTGATGGCCCAGATACACATGATGGAGAGCAGTCGCCTGAAAAACGACCGTGGAGACCCCAGCCTAGAGATGGTGGCTGGAGAGACCGAGAACGTGAGAGAGAAAACAGCTGGAAACCTCAAGCCAGAAGGTTATTAATATTTTATGATTTCACTGACTAAAGTGGCAATTTTCGTACATTTCTAGTATTTGTGAAGACTGTTAACATAAATTCAATGGCGCACCTGTCCTTATAGTTTTTTTTGCTTGAATTTGACTTTTATCTGTTTGTGTTTTTAGGGATGAAGAATCGACACCATGGAGAAGAGGAGCTGATCGGGAAGAAAGTAGTGGTGGAGGAAGTAGTTGGAGAGATGAAGGAGGTCCCCCACAGGAAGATCGAGGGGCGTGGAGACGAGGTGGAGATGAAGGTCCCGACAGAGATCCTCCCCGACGTGACTTTGGAAGAGATGACCGAGGACCTCGTGACTTTGACAGAGGCCCTAGAAGAGACTTTGACCGTGATGACAGAGGCCCCAGAAGAGATTTTGATCGAGAAGACAGAGGTCCCAGAAGAGACTTTGACCGTGACGACAGAGGCCCTAGAAGAGACTTTGACCGTGACGACAGAGGTCCAAGAAGGGATTTTGACCGTGATGACAGAGGCCCCAAAAGAGACTTTGATCGCGACGATAGAGGCCCAAGGAGAGATTTTGACAGAGATGACAGAGGTCCTAGAGATTTTGATAGAGGTCCTCGTAGAGATTTTGATCGCGATGATAGAGGTCCTAGGAGAGATTTTGACAGGGATGACAGAGGCCCAAGAAGAGATTTTGATAGAGGACCACGCAGAGATTTCGATCGTGATGACCGAGGACCTCGCAGAGATTTTGACAGAGAAGATCGTGGTCCTAGAAGAGGTGAAGATGAAGGTACTGGTAATTGGAGAAGTGGCCCCAAACGTGATGAGGGAACACCAAGAAAAGAGGGGGATGCCCCATGGAGAGGATCACGGGGTGGGGGTGGACAGGAAGACTCTCCTTGGAGAAAACCAGCTGCACCTCGAGAGCCAGAAAGACGACCCCCTCCAAAACAAGGTAAAAAGATTAAATCTGATAAATTATATTTTCCATAGTTTGAATATTTATATGAAATTGAGAAAAGTACAAACAAAAAAGAGTAGGTTGTACCCGTTATGGAAATATTTCCCTCATCAAATCGTCTGTTTCCATGATGAGGTGTTGAAAAGGGCAACATCAGACACCACTTTACAGATATTTTCTGCTAAATGAAAATTTGAAAACCTATATTACTTGGCATTAGTTTTATTGCTGAGGGAATATGAGTGTATTTTATCAGCTGATTTCTGCTATTTTTTTCAGTTGATTAATACTTTTAAGCAAATAGAACACGATGTTGATGTCATGTGATGTTAAAAATGGCTGCCTCCGCCATCTTGTACTAGTCACAAGATCAATACTTGTATAATTCTGTCTATTTCAGAAGAAAGTCGTCCTGGACGTGGAGGTGGAGGTGAAGATGATGGTTGGACAGTCGTAGGAAAATAAATTATGTCACATTGGAAAAATAAATAATGCTGTTACCAGAGACTGTCTTTCTAGATCTAATCTAATTTAAACTGAATTGCATTTTCTTATTTTTTTTTTTTTTTATCTTCATTGTAATCTAACAAGATTTGTACCACAGTCCTGTTCATATAAGACCAATTTCGTGCTAACAATGCTAGAAATATGACAGCTCCTTTGGGTTGGCTATCCCACAATTCTGTCTTTGTTAACAAGAATCAGGTCTTACATGACACACTTTGGTTGGTTAAAGATAATATTAGGTGATTGGAGTATGGTAGAAAACATGTTAGATTACAGTGGAGACAAAATATTATAACCAGTAAGAACTTGTATTCTAGTTTGAATTAAATTGAGTCTAGAACAAGATAAATTGTATATATTTCTAGTAGTTATTGTCAAATCATGCTTCAAACAATCCTTTTAACGTTTCTAAAAACTATGACATTACAGTTGAAGGAGGAACAGTCCATTGATAAGTTAAGGTAATTTAACTAGTAAATTATCACTATATTAGTATTGATTGTATGTTTTAATTGACTATTTATTTTACCTTAACTTGAAATGGACTGTTCTTATTTAGGTTTTCAATCTAAAATTGTCTTTACTCAAAATTAGCCAGGCAGTTTCTAATATTGAATGTAAGGGTTTTTTGGGGACAATTTTCTGCTTGTTGTCATGCTAATTGAATTGAGAATATTCTATATTTGTCATTTGTATTAATGATTTCGGAAAAATTTAAAACTCGTATTTAGAAATAAAATTATTGATTTGAATGTTTGATCTAACTTATTTGAAATCAAAGTTCTGGCTTTATTTTCATGATTATCAACTTTCTGAAATAAATCAAGTCCCTGGTAAATCAATCAAGTCAATCAAAATTTGGTGTTAGGTTTTTGTTTATTAAGTTAAAATTTCATTAAGGGATATAGTCATTTAATTTTTACTTTCTTCACTTTACCTGTATCACTTTTCAGTTTAAAATTTGATTTGTCTGAAATATAATCCAATGTCCTAGTATGTGTAATGTCAAGTAACTGAAGTGATACAGAGAGTTGAAAATAAATAAATAATTAAACGACCCTATCCCTTTAAAGGGTGAATTATTATTGTAATTTTGTTTGTGAAGATAAACTTATTAAATATGCTAATCTCTATTTACTTTGATTTCTTACTTCAATAGGAGAGATCAGCCATGATGTCCTACTGGTGGTTTGTTTATCACATGATGGTAGGTAGATGACAAGTTAATGTTAGCTTCCAAACTTTCACATGATACACAGCTTTAACAGTTTTAAGAGGGGTTTGTCCTGCATGCATGTGTTCTATATTTAGCATATCGCCGCTAAACTGATGTCTCTGATTCCTTGTAGGAAAAACATGATTTTACCCATCGTATCCAAACCATGCCCCCATTCGTCATACTTAAGACAATGTCAAAACCATGATATGATGGACTTTACCAAGCCTGACAAATCCGGTCCTAACCATTCATCGAAGATTTTGTCCTATTAAGGGCTGGACAAGTTGTCGTGAGTTGCTTTGACATGTTTGGACGAACTCGTGGATTCTTTGTACTTGAAATGAAAGTGTAAATGGACTGATTCAGGACTCTATTTATAGGGTTAGACCTTAATATTCCAGGGAAAACTTGTTGGTTTCAACCTACGTAAATAGTATCTTGGTCTTGCACCACAATGCTTAGTTACAAGTATGTTGAAGATCGTGTTACCATGTACATCACTAATATCAAATTTCATTACGCTTTATATCTTTAAAAACATAATAGAAATTATAGCACTTAATAATGATATAAAATACAGAGTCTGTACAAGAATATTAACACTTTATCTTTCGCTGTTTCAGAGCCGAGAAGTGTCACATGACATTGAATCTGCAGAAACCAACAGCGTTAGAGTTTAAGATACTGAACCATAGAAAGTAAAGTGGGCTGTTCGGATATACATTAATATTCTTGATTAACTCATTGGATTCAACAGAACATACGACATAAACATACAAAATACAGATACTGACTATCCAATATAAAGTTGCCATCTTGGCTGGCATTTGATAGTTTTTACATGAAATCTTGTTTATAAATTCCATTGCTTGGCAGTAAAAAATGAAATCAATGAAAAAAAATAAGTACATGTACATACAAAGTTAAAGTATTGACAAGTGACTTTATAAGGCTCTAGAAGCCTACACCAATGAAAAAAAAAACCCACTTGTAGTTGAATCTAAGTGAGGCATTTAACATATTACGCCACAGCTTTGCTTTGAATCCTCGCTGCACAAACCTTTGATTGTCCAGCAATGGTTAATGAGCTCTCCCAAGGAGTCGAGACAGCCAGTCATTAGTGAAGACAAGATGGGCATGCCCCACTGTATTGTTCAAAAAAGATCTCATCTCATAATGATAAGCATGCCCTGCCTAGCCAGATACACACTGTAGAAAAATGTTCATATAAAATTAACAATAATCGTCTAGTATACTATGATCAGTTAGATGTAAACCACGTTCTTTCAATGCTTTCTTTTTTAACTCCTCTTCCTGTTGTTTCTGAACCTGTTCCTCTCGCTGCATCTCCAATATTTCATCTATTGGAACTTTAATCAACGCCGGGTTCGCCTCATTCTCTGTGTTCTACAAGACAAATTCAAATAAGGTGGAGTTTTACACCCCTTCAGGTCCAATGAAGCTCGACAAACATAAATATTCGAATAAATGAAGAGAATTTTTCAAACCATTTTGAAACCCCTAGATATTATTTAATTAGCAACTTTTGAAATAGTGAAGTTATTCAAACGTTAGATGCAGTCACAAAAGCCATCAATCTAGTTCATTTTACCTAAGAATCGCGTTTCATTTTATCAAGATCATGTACTAGCAGTGAAGAGAATACTATAAGGACTGTTAAACTTACCACTTCACCCAGAAGAACCACATTCTCTCCTCTAATAATGAAGATTCCTCGTTCAATATCGCCGTATTTTTTACCAACGTGGATTCTTTCTATCGTTCTGTGTAACACTAAATTAGCTGAAACCAGAAAATAATTACTACATCTAATAACCATAAATATATCCAGCTTATAACCATAAATATATCCAGCTTATAACCATAAATATATCCAGCTTATCACCATAAATATATCCAGCTAATAACCATAAATATATCCAGCTTATAACCATAAATATATCTAGCTTATAACCATAAATATATCCAGCTTATAACCATAAATATATCCAGCTAATAACCATAAATATATCCAGCTTATAACCATAAATATATCCAGCTTATAACCATAAATATATCCAGCTTATAACCATAAATATATCCAGCTTATAACCATAAATATATCCAGCTTATAACCATAAATATATCCAGCTAATAACCATAAATATATCCAGCTTATAACCGTAAATATATCCAGCTAATAAACATAAATATATCCAGCTTATAACCATAAATATATCCAGCTAATAACCATAAATATATCCAGCTTATAACCATAAATATATCCAGCTAATAACCATAAATATATCCAGCTAATAACCATAAATATATCCAGCTTATAACCATAAATATATCCAGCTTATAACCATAAATATATCCAGCTTATAACCATAAATATATCCAGCTTATAACCATAAATATATCCAGCTAATAACCATAAATATATCCAGCTTATAACCATAAATATATCCAGCTAATAACCATAAATATATCCAGCTTATAACCATAAATATATCCAGCTTATAACCATAAATATATCCAGCTTATAACCATAAATATATCCAGCTTATAACCATAAATATATCCAGGTCCCACATAATCCTTTTTTTCAACATCACAATTTTAAACATCTTGATCTACAATACTGTTTCAGTTTACAGGCAACAGTCAAAACTGACCCCATAACATTAAACTGTGATAAAAGATGGGAGTTTTCTGTCCCTGAACATTTAAGATTTATTTAAGTCAATATTTGTCTTTTGTGACAGGAATATAGCTTGAAATGACTGATAACCTTTGACCTTTATCAGAAATCAATAACAACCTACCAAATTGGTCGATACTCCTGAGAAATCCTATCAACGTTCTTCCATCTCGTAAAACAACTAACAGTTTTTCTAGAAAAATTAAAAAATTAATAGTAATCACAGCAACTTGATAATGGTATCTTACATCCATGTCTTTATATTAAATATTGTAATATCATCTTTACTTCAAAATTAGTTTCAACTACATGTTATTAGTCTTGAAAAGTTTGGTTCCATAGAAATATAAGGGTTGATAATTTTACTTTTGAAATATACCACATCCCCTTCCAAGAAATTACATGTAAAAAACAAATCATTTGAAACTGAAAAATTTCTCTTCTGTCAAATCGAATTTCCCAGTTCAACTTCTTGAATTATCATCAAGCAATCTGAAACTTTCAGTTTTCAGTTCTATGTTAGTTGAGACAGGTAATATAATAATGAACATCCAATACTTACTGTCTATTTCCTCTATAAGACTGGCTGTTCCTGGTAAATAACTACTCATATTATATTCTTTAGTTCTTAACCTGTCTCTTTTAACCTGTAATATATCATATAGGTTTACACCTTTCAATCACAATCAGTATACTACTAGTAAGGTGATTGGTCAAGTCGTCTAGTTGAGATAAAGTTGAGATTAAGTTGAGATTAAGTTGTGATTAAGAGTGTCGCTGACTGGAATTTGAAGTGTTTTTATTTTACATTACAATCTGAGGGATAATAAACTCTTCATTTTACATGGGTCATAGTCCTGTCCAACATTCAGCCCATGGGATTCATAAATTATTCCAAAATGCCATCTAAGATACAGATGGAGCCAGGCAATTTCTAAATTAACTGAGTCGTTTATTTTGAATAACAACTGAAAGAATTTGATGTGTTCTTCTCTTGCTTGTGTCTGTCTGTTTGTCTTCCACTTCTGACTTATCTACTTAAAAACTTATCGAAACTATTGATGCATGACAGACGGTAGTCACATGTCCCCTCTAGACTCAAGACTCCCTCCCACCCCTTACCCTATCGGAACATCAGCATTTGAAAGAAAGGCAAGTTGATGCTTTCACCATTCTCACATTTTTCTCTTTGGTCATTAACGACCTTCACCGTCAGCTTCACGACAAATCGACCCACAAATATTTCGGCCTGCAATTTTGATCGTGTTCGACTCTACCACGGCAAAAGAGAATTGTTTGTGAAACAAAACCAAACCATTGTAGGGCTATCAGCACTGTATTATATTGATAAGATCCTGTAGTCCATAGTCCTGAATCAGGACAACTTAGACCGATGCACGGTCGGACCACACTATATGGTCGATATGACTAGAATTTACCGGAAGTTGCGAGAGGTCAAGGTTGGAGTGTTTCTCACTTCCGGTTGATTTCCACATGGCAAAAATATTGTAAACATAAGAAAATTAGACTAAAAAATGAATATTGTGCCTTGTTTATCGTGGGTGAAGCAAGGTTGGGTGAGCCAGGAACCACGGCGAGTTTTGATAGATCGGGAGGATTTGAAACGAGTTATTGAAGAAACCAAACACGAACTTGACGAAGAGGAAAATGCAGATGAGGACGATGGAATGGAAGATGCTGGAATCGAAGATGACAGTAAACTAAAAACAAACATTGAAGCTGATGATGATGATGATGATTACATCGCTTCCAAATATGGTTTAGATGATTATGATGATGAAGATGAGGAGGATGTTGATCCAGCAGGCGGATTCGACAAAGTTACTGTGTTTGCTAGCAACGATGACGATCCGTATATAACAGATAAAAGAGAAGATCAGAGTGATGACGAGGATGCGGAAATTCAAGTGACAGATAATATCATAGTTGCTGGACGAGCTCACGAAGATGCCAGCCAATTGGAAGTCTTGGTTTATAACGAAATGGAACAGTATCTTTACCTACATCACGATTATCTACTACCGGCCTTCCCCTTGGCTATAGAAGTGATGCAATTTGATGTTGGTGGGGCAGGTCAAACTGGATGTTACGCTGCTGTGGGCACGATGAAACCCACTATTGAGGTTTGGGATTTGAATGTCATGGAAAGTTTAGAACCAGCCTTCAAGTTAAAAGGTGTCAGCAAGAAGAATAGATTGAAAAAGGCAGAGAATATGGGTCATAGAGATGCTGTGTTAGATTTATCATGGAATTCAGTTGTTGGAAATGTTATAGCAAGTGCCTCAGCAGACTTCACGGCTAAATTATGGGATTTGAATAATTTGAAGGTCGTTACTACGTTGTCACACCATGTTGAAAAGGTTCAATGTATAAAATGGCATCCTATGGAAGCCCAGTCTCTGTTATCAGGCTCTTTTGATCAGACAGTCAATGTCTATGATTGTAGGAATCCGGAAAGTGCGTTTAGAAGTTGGAATTTAAATGGTGAAGTAGAAAGAGTAGTATGGGATCATTTCTCTCCGATGCATTTCTTCGCTTCCACGGACACTGGACAAGTTTTCTACTTCGATATCAGACAAGACAAGCCTTTGTACAGTTTTAAACCCCATGATAAAGCCGTGGCTGGAATTTGTTTAAGCAGCCAAATACCTGGATTATTGGTCACGACTTCCGACGATAAAAAATTAAAAGTTTGGGACGTTCAGGACAGCAAACCGAACCATATTATAGAGAAAAATCTGAAAATTAATGAATTGCATTGTGTAGGGTGTTGTCCTGAGGCACCATTTGTTTTCGCCATCGGCGGAGAGAAAGAGGCGAGAGTCTGGGACATTCGAGAAAGTTTAAAAGTCCGACAGCATTTTTTGAGTCGTATGCCAGCCAAATTAAAAGCTGAGTGTGAAGGAGATGAAGCAGATATATCAGAGGACTCTGATTGTGGACCAACTGATGCGATGGACACTTTAACTTTAGATAGTGAAATGAAAGACAATAGTGATAGTGAAACTGTCGATAAACCTGCAGCAAAACTCAAGAAAAAGAAAACAAAAAAGAAGAAAAAGAAAAAGGCCCTGCAGTAAAAATGTACAATATATTATATTAAGAAAAAAAAATTGAAAATAGTCTTATTTGGTTTTTAGCTCGCATGCTCGAGTTTGGTATATTGTCAATTCCCATGTCCGTCCTTCAATTCACAATTGCTAGTATAAGCTTCATAATCTGCAGATTTCATATCCATTTCAGAGCTGCACTATTAGAGCCTTCCTTGCTTACCTGAAGGTCCAAGGTTCAATACCAGCATTGGTCGAGATATTATTTTTTTCGATCTGGTTTCCTCGTCAGTGATGCAGGTAAGAGGGCTGACATGGAAAAAGCATCTTGTCATTCGCATGGGACAATAAACTGAGGACCCATGTGCTACAGACTGTGGTCATTAAAGGTTGAAAATCAGAATAGAATAGCTTTATGCCACTGTCATGACAAAATTTCCCTCATTGCTATCTGCATGGTGTTGCTGTCTTTATTAGCTTAATCAGGCACAGAAGCATAAATTATGGACACTGTTAATGCTAATGAGTACACAACAACTGTTGTAACCTAAGCATGAAATAAAACATCCATATATCTGCATTTTTATCAGAGCTCTTGGCTTATGTTTGAATTTTATCTACCTGACACATTAAGGGATGGGTGGGTAAAAAACTTTGATGAATTATGGTCTACCAAATCACACATTTTTTTCCACAATTATATATTCTATGTTCAAAATCCAACAAAACAATTTTCTATATTATATTTTTTATTGCCACCAAAAACTGACTGAGAAACTTACAGATAGAGATTTTACAAAATGCCAAAATTTGGACGGAATAAACAACATTTCTCCTGGGTTTAAAATACACTCAGTGTAAGAAGCAGATTTGAATTTAGGGAACTGGTCATAATTGGGTTGTTCCACATCGATCTGACTGGTGTTGTGTAGCAACCTGTGGGGGTGGGGATAAACACTGGGGGTGAACTCATCACTGTACAGACGAATGTATTTACTGCCCATAACTTGGGCCAATAGATTGTCTTTATCATCATAATGTAGGGGAGAGACGGTACCTCTGGGACCAAACCATGCATTCACATCAACATCATCCCTTGTTCCCAGACAGCAGTATGTCGGAACGCTGATGTCATTCTGTAATTCTGGAATTTGATCAAATAGCTGATGTTGTGCAAGATAGCCTTTTGGATTGGAATTGTTCTCATGAGGATGTTCGATGTATTTTTCAATAAACTCTTTAATTGTCATGAGAGTTTGAGACCAGGAATCTTCTGTGTATTTGGAACCGATTTCAATCGGCACCGTTCGTGTTCCTGCGACAGATTTGATATAGTCTAATGTCCATTTTCTATTTGACATGGCCGGCCAAAAATCAATGGCATCGGTAATGATTACAGGCACTCTCGTGTTCAAAAACTTACTTTGAAAGCTTTCCAGGGAGAGGCAACTGACTCTTTGAATTAATTTGGTTTCATCCAGGGAACATAAAGGATCCTGGGCTAATTGGTGAGTCGCGTGTGATAATTTCTGACGCTTGGGACTGATGTCGATGTCAGCTGAAGGTGCCATACGAGTAACATTATTACAATCAGGGTTCAATGGTGAAATACAGGCAGACATTTTAGCCAGGATGTTGTCCAACAATGGGGCCCCCATAAGAAGACCCATATCACACGTTTTCATCACATCTGAAAATTTCACCTTTGAATCGCCGTCAAGGAGAAGATTTGTTTCCGCAAACATTTTCAGCATGGAGACGACAGTGTAGGCGTATCTCCAAGCCACTGGGACATGTTTCCAATATCCTGTATTCAACTTCTCCCAAATATAATCTATCAATATTTCACAATTTTCTTGACATTTCACAAAATCAGTTTTAGATTCTTGACATCTTGTGAAGTCAGATTTATATTGCTTGCTGGCTTTTAGATTCACAGACATTTGTGAAACCTCACAACTCCCTTGATCAGGCCTAACGGTGGAGTCAATTTTAGTGTATAGCTGAATGTTGGATTGAAAATCATCGCAGGTTTCTTGGTTAGAATTAGTGTCATTATTTTGAAAATAGAGCATATCACAGGTGTTTGAAACCAAACTAAGAACTGAAGATTCAAGGACACTATTGGGATCTTTGTCTTTCAAAATAGTCATGATTTCCTCAGTTGATTTGGGCAACAGTTTTTTAAGGGCCTCCATTGTAGATTGATGTTTTGTTTCAGACTCTTCTATGCCCAAACCGTAGATACAAGATTGTGTAAATACTACAATGTATGTGATACCAATAGGTGCACTTTGATTTTCAATTGTTCATGTCTGTTGATTTTGATTATGGGACAAATTTTGGTACTGAAGTATCTATTCATTTCTTTCACTACATCTTATTTTGGTTTCTGAAATAAAGTTATGTTTATGATCAAAAAGAGCATATACCTTTAAGTAATGTAAGAGAGGAGAAGGGGGCAAGGTACATAATTGTAAGTTCGAAAAGAATACTGCAGTGGATTTAGATTTATACAAATCTGTCAACCGTGAACGACCACAGCACAGTCACATACACAGACGCCACATTGACAAAGGCTACAGTGAGATCAGAATTCACAAATATTCCAAATAAATTTGTAAAAAGTTTCACTCCATTTCGATTAGGCTGTCTTCAGAACATTGTCCGTCAGTTCCACCATAAAGTTGCCCACCGTTAGTGTTGCGATAAGCGAAAACAACAGGGATCCATTTTACCGGTCGACGTGATGAAATTTGTGTATCCGAATCACATGTCGGCAAAACACACTACAAGCTTAGCCGACATAATATTAAATAAATGATTCTACAAACCTCTTCAACCAAAGCTACTTTCGTTTTACAAAAGACATGGGGATTACCGGAAATGACGTTGTGATTCTATTGATAGATTAGAGGATTCCCTGGTTCAGGTTGTATACTTCAAGATGGACAAGCCAAAAGGGCGGGGTTGTTGAGCAAGTAAGTCGACTTCACTGAAGAAAGTGCATGCATGGCTGTAGTTTGAGACTGTATTGGAATTTTGAATGTGGGTAAGTAGACTCACGTGAAATGGGGTTTTATGATGCACCTGCTTGGCAACCACCACAGCTATGCCTGTGATGATAGTGATGCAAGTGGGAAACAAACACTGCAACCGCAATGCAGTGTTGACTTCAATTAGAAAAATTTTGCCTTACAGGGATATTAGTGGAGACACTTATGCCTGCTTATGCTCTTTCGTTCTTGCCCTGATGGAAGCAGTGCTCGATGCTAGCTCACAACTGCAAGTTTTTTTAACTGTTGTCGTCAGTGTAGGCTAGTCTCAACATCTGCCTCTACTCTCTAGTGGCTCCAGGCCTATTCCAGCCTCTGATAATGATAGCTATTATGACAGTTGTCAGCTGTAGAAGCCTTGGAGGGGCTGACATAGAAAAAGTCTAGTCGTTCAGATGAGACAATATGCAGAGACCCTCTGCTGCATGCAAGTTACTTAGATCCCTTAACCTTTGAAAAGAGTACGCAAATGCCACTGTCCTGACTGAATTTCACACAAATCACATTACAGGGTGTTGCCTGTTTCGTGGCCTCCATCAGATTTTACAGAGAGGAATTATCTGTCATTTTCACCTTAAATTCCTAGAAGGGAAGCTTGTATATTTTAAATGTAAAATCACCAAAACCAAAAAAATGGACTAAAAATCTATGATGATAAGCCCATACATTTGAATACTTGTAATAAAAGCTTTCTGTGTCACAGGAATTGACTCTCTATTATCATTATAAAAGCTAATTGTTGTCCTCTGATTTCTATGATGTCTACAGTTTGTCAGTTTTCTTCTTGTAAATAAAACATCAATTGTGTATAATAATGAAGAAGTTTATAACAGGCCTATATATTATATAAGTTACAGTCTTTATAAAACCAATGTAAATAATAATATCAGTTTCAAGGAGAGTTAACAAGTCATGTGACTGCCATGTGAGAGTTTGTTATACTTGTATAAGTTTTTAGGTCATGGCTTATATTCTGACCCCTTCTAGTTTAGGCTATATATATATAAACTGGTAGTTTGAATACTATCACACCATTAATATATTATACAGTAGAGATCATATCAGATTATATTGAAGGGTTAGTAACTTTTCTATTGTTGGGTATTTGCGTGGATTATGCAGAAAGAAAAAAAATTGATTTAAAAGTATCTAAACTCATTTATTTATTTATATTTTTAATTATATTGTTTCAGATCGATAACAAATTATAGTTTGAGAAAATAGTGCTCCAGTAGGTGTAAGACAGATTTGAAAAAAAAAAACATCAACAAGAAAGATCTATAAGCTTAGTGCTGTAAGTGTTAAAAAACAGAGCAAGGTAGAGAAAGTGAAAGTTGTGGTCCTGTAATAGTGGAAGGAAGGAATCTTAAGGTTCTTAAAGTTTTGTTTGAATATATATTATAACATATCAACCTCTTGGTATTGAACCTGTCCAGTACTGAAAGTTAAGAATCTATCTAAAAAGCGAAAGTAAACAAACAACGAAACAGTTACAACTTGTGTGGTGTTCCTGTAAGAAACAGCAACAGTTTAGAGAATCTTTCAGTGGTTGATATAACAATAATAGGAACAGGTGCCCTCTGATATACTGACTACGAGTTTGAAAGGAAAGAAAGTATCAATCTGATTTGATTTTGCTTGTAAAGAGTGAAGATTTTATCAATCCAACATGGTGACTTGGTATTTAGATGAAAATCACCTGGCAATATGTGCCATAGTAACAGTTGCTATGCAGTTTTCTTTCTTTTTAATTGCGTGTACGTGTAAATTTGATAAAGTGACAGATTTCGCTGGTGGATCGAATTTCGTGATTTTAGCCATCATCACGTTTTTTCTGCCGGGGGTAAGTATATATAACATCAGTCAGCAGTTGTGTCTTCACAATGTCAAACTATTACGAACTTAATCTTATAACTTGACTGCAATGGCAACCTTCTTGTATCACAAAAGGTTGTAAATGCAAGAATTTGATTGGATTGTATGCTAGCGAATCAGAGCTCTCAACAGAAAGACTGTAAAGACTGCTATTGTAATCGGGGACTATGATCAATATTTGCTGTTCTGTTTTTTATTAAAGAGTAAAGACAGGCGAATGTTAAAAGAGGTCTTATATAATGTTTATATAATAATATTATTATTTCAGACGTATATTACCAGACAGATCTATACGACTATATTCGTGGTAGTCTGGGGATTAAGACTGTCAGGATATCTATTATATCGTATTATTAAAATCGGAGAAGATAAACGCTTCGATGATAAACGAGAAAATCCTCTTCAGTTTGCTATATTCTGGATATTTCAGGTACATATTTATTTATAATAAAAATTCTCTTCCCCCCTCCCCCTCCCCTCAGACCTGAGAAAGATCAATGGGCACTTTGGGAAATTTTCCGCGACCACGGAGAGACACTTCTCAATTTGACACCTGTCGTTTTATGATGTTTAATAAGTTATGTTTTTTAATAATTAATGTTTTCTATTAAGTTATATTTGTGCTTTCTAATTAGTTACGTTTAGTATTAAGTAATAATTAATGTGTTCTATTAAGTTATATTTGTGCTTTCTAATTAGTTACGTTTACTAACTAATAAGTTATCTCTTCTATTAAGTATTAAGTAATAATCAATGTGTTCTATTAAGTTATATTTGTGCTTTCTAATTAGTTACGTTTACTAACTAATAAGTTATCTCTTCTATTAAGTATTAAGTAATAATTAATGTGTTCTATTAAGTTATATTTGTGCTTTCTAATTAGTTACGTTTACTAACTAATAAGTTATCTCTTCTATTAAGTATTAAGTAATAATTAATGTGTTCTATTAAGTTATATTTGTGCTTTCTAATTAGTTACGTTTAGTATTAAGTAATAATTAATGTGTTCTATTAAGTTATATTTGTGCTTTCTAATTAGTTACGTTTAGTATTAAGTAATAATTAATGTGTTCTATTAAGTTATATTTGTGCTTTCTAATTAGTTACGTTTAGTATTAAGTAATAATTAATGTGTTCTATTAAGTTATATTTGTGCTTTCTAATTAGTTACGTTTAGTATTAAGTAATAATCAATGTTTTCTATAAAGTTATATTTGTGCTTTCTAATTAGTTACGTTTAGTATTAAGTAATAATCAATGTTTTCTATTAAGTTATATTTGTGCTTTCTAATTAGTTACGTTTAGTATTAAGTAATAATTAATGTGTTCTATTAAGTTATATTTGTGCTTTCTAATTAGTTACGTTTAGTATTAAGTAATAATTAATGTGTTCTATAAAGTTATATTGTCTTGTTATTTTTTGATTTAGTTATTTCTTCTGATAAATTTTTTTTATGCTTTCTAATAATTTACTTCTTACATTAGTTATATTTTACTAATTGCAGGCAGTGTGGGTATTTACAGTCAGTTTACCGTTTATATTTATCAACTCCCCGGTCAGTGCTTCACGATTTCGTGAGTGGGCAGTACTGGATATTATTGGTATTATATTCTATGTAATTGGTTTAGTATCAGAGACAGTGGCGGATATTCAGAAGTTTAATTTCCGTAATAACCCTGATAACAAGGGCAAGTGGTGCGCTGTCGGTAAGCTTGAATATTCTATTGACAATAACAAAATATTTTCACTGTGAAAAAAGTGCTCAGTACAATAACCAAATCCACAAGATTTTGGTCAATTTCGAAAATATATTGACAGAGTTTCATCCGCAACATTTGATCTTGAAAAGACATTTTCTTTTGTGATTCCACTAAAAATGGGTGTTTAATGATTTCACTGTCGCAAAGATGCTTAAATGCTAAAAGTATATTGTACAAAGGCTACGTCATAAAACATTTAGTCGAGTTGCAACGAGTTGCAAAAACCACAGACTTCTGCCTGAAATTGGAATGCTGTAAATTGATGCCATCTCGTTAACTTGTTTCAAAGGCTCTTTATCATTATCATTATTGTTGATGTGCTTTGTTTATTTCAGGATTATGGAAATTTTCACGTCATCCTAACTATTTTGGTGAGATTATGGTATGGTTAGGGTTATTTCTAATATCAACTAGTATATTAAAAGATGGTCAATGGGTAGCAGTACTCAGTCCAATATTTACTATAGTAATATTACTGTTTGTTAGTGGTATACCGTTATTAGAGAAGAAAGCAGATGAACGTTACAGAAAGTAGGTTTATTTTATTTTTTTTTTTCTCACAATTTCTATTTCTATAAAACATGGTGGAACAGGGTTTAGAATGTGCTCTATGTTCATAGTTAATCAGAAATAACGTCATATATCATGAACACTGTTTCTCAAAAATTGGTGCGATTAGAAAAACGTTATTTTTTAGTTATCAAATCCTTAATTTATAACGTTTACGCTCAAACGTAATGTATGCTATTTTGAGAAACGGTGACCAGAACTGTAAGTGATTTAACTTACAATGTATGATATTAATATTGGTTGATATCACTAGGAAATATATCATGTTCTGTTGTGGCTGGCAGAGTGGCAGCTCTTGTTATAATGGTTTAAATTTTGAAACATTTTAACTATCAGCTTATTTAATTATTCATTATTTTAGATTGGAATCATATCAGATTTATAAAAACAGAACGAGTCCATTAATACCTCTACCTCCACCATGTTACGCTGCCTTCCCCAACCTCTTGAAATGTTTCTGTTGCTGTGAACTCCCACTCTATAACCATGCAGAAGAAGAGGAAAACGTCATCGGAAAAAATACAGGAACCTCTGATAATCGTCAATCTTATACACCAGAGTCTCAGAATCCTTCAGTTTAGGGCAGCCGGATGGAGACTATTTTCAAATCCACAATTTTAGACGTTTAAACAGTTGATCATGCTTTATTTGATTATGGATAATCCAGGAAAGGTCAGCAGCAAAGATTAATTAACGACCAACAGGTAGACTGGATACTTAACAACTGTAATACAGTGGACAGTACAGTAGTTGGTACTTGTAAACCTCAGTAGTTATTTGGAAAAATGCTTGTTTCTTTTTTTTGACATTGTGATAAGAAGTTCATGTTTTGACTCTAACTAACGGTTTATAGTTATTATAATTTATAATGGTTTTAGGCTTGCTAGAAACTTGCTGACTCATCAAGAACAAGGGTCCTGTTTCACTTAGATAAAATCCAGATTTTACAGAATACAGTGATCTGATTGGATAATAAAACTAAATCTAACAAACAATATTAATGATTGACCAATCAAATGATTGTATTGCTAAAGTCATCCTAGTTAGAGTTTTTAATGAAACAGGCCCTAGATTGTTTGGATGGTTTGCTTTGTTTATCTTCATTTTGGTTTGTTTCAGAGAAAACGAGCAAAGATGGATGATTCTAAGGTTTTGAAAATGTATGATTCCCTCCCTTTATTTGTCAAATAAACTTATTTGCATTTCTTGTGATATACCTCTTCTTTGTAAGTTTTATTCTTTATGCATATATATATATATATATGTCATGGTGTTGCCTTTATCATTTTAGTGGATTTTCATTTAATATTTGCAGGGATTACAATGCCTATTTGTATATTATGTATATTGTGACTTTCCTGACCATATGTTCACCCTAAAACGATTGCCAAACTTGGGCTGGACACATTATAGAATATTTCAGGTTTACTAGAGGGAATTAAAGGGTGTTTTCTATATCACAATTATATGGTCGTTGTAAAATCAAGGAATTTACTTTTTAGAAATGAAAAAAATACAAAAATGCTTTTCAGGACAAAAATGACAATTATTTTTACCTCAGACATTTCGCAAAATCAGACTCCATTTTTATTTTATTTCCTATTTTTATATCTATCTATCTATCTCTCAGTAAATAAGAATGGCAGCTATAGTTGAGTCAAAATTATTTGTACACATCTCAGTAAGATTTTAAACATAACACAAGCAGTCTTCATTTCAACGATTCAGTATAATAAGTTTATCACAAATCAAACCTAAATTGTTTCTATTACTATTTAAACTGCCTCTAAATATATAAACAGCTGTGTTTAGTTTTCAATCAGACTTGGTTTTATACAAATATTTCTCCCACCCCACTATACATCTAAATTTCATACTACATGTATATGTAAATATTTATGTTTAAATGTAAAAATTTTCATGTATTTTTCTATGAGAGTTGTTGTACTTTATTTAGTTGACTGATTATTTAACCAGGAAATGTTCAAGTTGTCTTTATTGTTATATTTTCTTTTACTGATTATACGAGATGTTCTTTAAGTTAATTATAAGATTTGAGGTCAGGTTTTTATCTACAAGATCAAACAAAACAATATTTATTTACTGATGTATAGCAACGTTAATTATTGTATAAATTGAAGAATCTTTAAAATATGTTACGTGTACAGTATCAGGAACATGGATATCATCAATATGAGCCATTCCATTCCATTTTTACTAAAACTAATAGATTTATGACAATGCTATCTCACATGCTCTTAGGATATTATTAACAGCTCTTGCCATAGTGACAACTTATATGTTAAACATTGCTATGATTATAGGCACCACAGACATCTGACAGAAAATAGGAATGATTCAAATAGAAGTTATATAAGACCCAATGAACAATCTCTTTAATCTGGGAGTACTTTACATGGTATATTTTTAAGTAAATGTATTAGAATAAAAAAGAGTAAGTCAACATATTGTTCTGTAAAAACTTTCTCTCTCATTCCACAGGATTAAACTGATGATGTAAACTGTACAGAGTTGTTCATTTATTATATTTTCTATCTAGTTGATTATTGTTTTGAATTTTATATTGTTAATATTTGTTATAGACTTCAAATAAAATTTATAATAAACTTCATTCGAGTTAGTCTCAAGTATCATAGCTTTAATAGCCAATTTACTAAGTCAGCTGGGCGCTGTGGGGTCATGGTACTTAGTCACAGGGGGAAGAGTGGATCCATAATGAGGGGCAGGGGTCGCCATGGTACTTGGTGAGGAGGAAAATGGAGCCCTTTGACTTAGTTATGGGGAGGATTGTGCAATAGATCTTAGTTACAGGGGGGACTTAATATGAGGGGCAGGGGTGGCCATGGTACATGGCAAGGAGTAGGGTGGTGCCTCGGACCTCGGGCATCAGTGACTCCAGGCATTTGTTGAGAAAGATTAGCAGCATATCCCTGGCTCTTTCCAAAAAACAGTACTTGCTCTCTCAAATCTTTTACATCCATGAACAATTTTGCATTTTTATCGAGTGAGATAGAGGAAATGGATCCAGGACTAAATCATAAGGAAAACTAAATAGATAAGTCTGTCGTGTGTGTAATATGTTAATGATTTGTTAGAGCAGTCTTTATTTACAAAATCTAACCTTTGCCCTTTTAATCTATTTGATTTTCTGTTTTAATCAATGTTTTATTAACAATTAGGAATCTCACATGACATAATAGAATTATTTATACACATAAACTTAAATTCGTGTCACCAATTTATAGTTTCGTTTCGTTTTGTCCAACTCACATACTGAATATTAAATTTGAACAGTGCCACCTGTCGGCTAGAAAACAAAATGTCGGAAAGCAGCTCGGATGAAATCGCCACCGGTGAAGATTGGGTGTTTTACCGCGATCGACCAGAATGGAAGGATGTCACTCCGATCCCTCAAGACGATGGACCCCATCCCGTTGTCCAGATAGCGTATTCCGATAAATGTAAGCCATATTTTCCATGTTATGCATAATTATATGACTCAAAATGAGGTGGTGTTTTTTTTTTTTTTTATTATTTGTTATGACTGTTTAATTTTGTGGAGGTGGGTTTCATACTTTCATACTTTTGAATTTCTAAAGCGAATACTGTCTGCCCACAAATAGTCCCAATGGCACAATGTTTACAGAATAGCATTTTTCTTTCACCGATTAATTAGATAGACCTATCTACTTCAGTGTGAAATTGAATATCAACTTCAAAATAGTTTTGAAACATAGATTCTGAGTTTGTCTTTGGGTAGCAGAATTTGTCAACAATGAACAGATTGTTATTTGGAAAAATTAGGTCCACACACTGTTGGAAGAACAAAATTTTGAGTCATTTTCAAATATCATTTCACTGTGGTCAAAGATGTACATTTACCCACATTTTTTTTTATAAAGAATATTGGATAGAAATGTTAGTGAGGGACAGTTTTTACGTAAAACTTCATTTCAGTCCGAGATGTGTATGATTATTTTCGAGCTGTGGTGGCAGCAGATGAGAGAAGTGAACGAGCTCTACATCTAACAAAAGATGCTGCTGAACTCAATTCAGCTAATTATACTGTATGGTACGTTTCAGTTTTATTTGATTTATTTACTTGTAACACTAAGCTTATAGATTTATAGATATCAACAGTTGTCTAGAGGAGGGCTGTTTGGCCCTGGAATCCCCCATGGGCCTGTGATAATTCTTATATTGAAGTGAAATTTAAGTCCTAAAAATTCATCTCAGGCCATCTGAAATCCGGGGTTCTCTGACAGACCCAAAACCCCTGACTTGGTAAGCTGAGATAACAAAAATTATTTTGGCTTGTTGCTGCCCTCATAAACACTATTTTGTGTCATCCTGTACTGGTATCTTAGATAACTAACAGCAGTTTTTGACAAAGTTAATTGTGATGATGACTTAGTCTGATAATAACAATTTCATCTTTCTGTTGATATTTCAGGCATTATAGAAGAGTGATATTAAAAGATTTAAAAACTGATCTCAAAGGAGAATTAAAATATATATCAGAAGTGATCGAAGATAATCCTAAAAATTATCAAGTTTGGTGAGTATGATAAATATATTTTATTTTTAAACATGAATAACTGCCTACTTACATCAACTGTCTGTCTCTAGAATCTAGAATCAACTGTCTGTCTGTAGAATCTAGAATCAACTATCTGTCTCTAGAATCTAGAATCAGCTGTCTGTCTCTAGAATCAACTGTCTGTCTCTAGAATCTAGAATCAACTGTCTGTCTCTAGAATCTAGAATCAACTGTCTGTCTCTAGAATCTAGAATCAACTGTCTGTCTCTAGAATCTAGAATCAACTGTCTGTCTCTAGAATCTAGAATTTGCCAGTGTATTTATTAAGTGGATTATGATAATTGTTAATTGTCAAAGAATGAAGCGTATATTTTGACAGAAGCCATGTCAAGAACATAGAGTTTTCAACAGATATTGAGAATCAGTACACGACACTGTACATTCAGCTTGTACTGTAGTGTATCTTCATCCTGAGACAGGATTTCATACGTTGAATTCAACAGTTGATAAGGTTTAAAAAAAAAATATAATATGATGACTCAATGTAACTTTAGCTAACTGAAATATTGTCCTAAAAACATGTCAGCTGAGTCATGTCTCAATGAAATATAAAGCAAAACTTTTCTTCTGCCTTTTCCTTGAGTAAATTTTATACTTGGATGAAGTAAGCTGAATATCATTTGTTAATGAAATTATAAAAACATAATAATATAATATTATATAAGGATATGAAATATTACCCCAAATCATGTAATTTCCTGTCATACCTCGTTAAAATAACTGAAACTATTCTCTGGATTTCTTCTGTTTCGCTTTGTATCTAAGGGTTAATACTTGAGATAGAATCAGCAGAATTTGTAAGACATAAGAATAGGAAGGTAACATTTAAACACTAAGTTATATGGAATTTATTACATATTACATTTTAAAACACATTATCAAGTAACACAATGTATTTCAGGGAAATCTGGAGCTTCTATTTACACCATTCTGATTTTCTAGAATATTACTTGTTAATGAAATTATAAAACATAATAATAATAGGAGTGTACTAAACAGACCTAGGTTTGATTGATGTGTATCTGTCAAGTAGGTAAAGGTAAAAATATATTATCCTGGGGGGAAGAGATAGATTGATAGAATTTGACGTCAAGGTTATCAATATTTACTTTATGTATCATTTTCTACATCAATGAATAATAAACTTTTTGATAAAACTTGAGTTTTTCGACTGACAAACTATTGAATTAAGAACATTGTTCAAATAAAAAATGATGACATCTGATGACGACACGTGTAAATTGTGTTGAAACGTTATGTACTTTGTTATTAAAGAAGTGAGTTATACCATATTATACCCCTTGTGTTTGTCTACAATAGTAATATAGAGTAATATATTAATTGCAATTAGAAACGAACTTATAAAAAAACTCTCAAATTTCCCCAAAATTGTCAGTCAAATATCATTTTTTAAGATTTGAACGACATTTAGAATTGGAGAGTAGATATAACTAATGTAATTAATGTATTAAAAATGTAAACTTCTTAAAACCAGTTAGTATCTGATTACCAGCATTTTATATTCTAAAATCAGGATTCAATAAA